ATTTGCGTTTTTTGTGTTGTTGTTTTTCGCCATAGAGGGAAGTTCTATAAGAGGAGAAGTAAGAAGAAGTTCTTTAAAGAGTTGAAATCGTAGGCGGAGTACGGACAAGCTATACATTTTTTAATGGAATGTGGATTGGACGTTTAAGAAAATAATCTTTAAAAACTATCACAAAAAATATCCCGGAATACGCTTCAATAGGTTGTTTACTGAGGGAAAATATCCCCACCCTATCAAAATCGCATATTTTCCCCCACAACCTTTAGACAGTTTACAATAATATGAAGTTATAAGGACAAGAACAACGCATGCAATAATTTACTCAAATCGCTCTAAATATGCATGATAACGGCATGAGGGTGAAGTTAATAAGGTGTAGTTTTTGAAGGAACAAAAGTATAGAGCCAAATATTCGCCGCGAATGTGGGGTTGTGAGCTTCTTCATTTCATATTTCTCGTCAACTGATCTATATTATATAGTAATAATAGCTGTAATAATAATGGAACTACTACTAATATTAATAACAAAAAACAGCTGATCAGATTGCTGAGATCGTTAGGGCAGTAGTGCTGTAGTGGTCTCGAACCAGAAGACAGGGGGTTTCTAGTCCCGCCGCGGGCAAGGATGTATTTGTATATGTCCATTTGTGTGTGCTGTCCTTTCATCCTTCACCATCATCATCACCTCATCATCCATTTCCCCAAGGCTAACAACCTTGGAGGATAAAAATCGGGATTCAGCTGAAATGATGTTTCCTCCCTCTCAGAAAGGTACTTGCACCTGGTGAAGTAGGATGTACGCGTGATCGGACTTGACCAGTAAGGGGGAAAAATAACAAAGTATTTAAGATAAGACAAAGATAACTTTATTTAAACTACAAATTGGTATAATACAGTGGCAGCTAACAACATTAATAAGATAATATAACAAACATGGTACAATGGTTCAATTATAGTCATAGTAGCAATAATAACAGTTTATAATACTAATAATAATTATAATTAGAATAATAATAATAAAAATAATAATAGTATAAAGCTGGCTGATACATAAAACATTAAATTACCTTAAGAAAAGGAAAGTTCTATAATCTAACTCCGCAATGAATATTTGTTCAATTAAGACAACGCTGCACTAGCACTGCACTTCACTGCACTTCACTGCACTTCACTTCACTTCACTTCACTTCACTTCACTTCACTTCACTATGACCCATAAATCACTTCCTTCATTATTTCTCTTCTCTACACTGCACAACACATCACTTCACAATATATCATTTACGCATCGCTCTCTAAACTACTATTCTTACTGAAGTCTCTCAGCTACTTAATAATACCCTAAATTAATTTCCTAAACTGTTGAATGCATCGAGTGAAGGGTTCAAAACTTTTTGCAGGCAATCGATTCCATTCCGTTATCGTTCAATTTCTGAAAGAAAATTTCCGGACATCCGTTCTCTGCGGTCTTAACTTGATTTTGTGCCTGTAACCCCCCATACTGATGTATGTAGGAGTGCATAGATAGTTGTGAGGTTGGCGAGCGTGTGGCCGCTGGGCCGCTGGTGCGGCAGGTCCATGGCGGGCGCCGGCGCCGGGGGCCCGGTGCGGCCGGAAGGGCGCGAGTGGCGGCGCGCGCCGCGTCTGAGCGGGGGCGGGGAGGGCGGGGGCGGCGGCGGTGGTGGAAGGCGGTGGAGCGGCGACGCCAACTCGACACGATGTTGGACGGCGAGCGCATCCATGACGCAGATCACTCTGCGCCCGCTGCCGCACGTCAAGGTGTCCGACACGGCGGAGATGCAGACCAAGTTCTACCGCTTCGAGGGCCTCCTCGGGCGCGGCACCTTCGGCACGGTCAGAACGCCTCCCCTCCGCACAAACACACACACACACACACACACACACACACATAAATCACTCCACACGCGCGCACATTCGTTGCTTGGTAGACGATCACTTTCTCTATGAGCAATTGTTGCAGAGTGGGGGGGGTCAAAATAGATTTTTGAAAGTTGTGTTTGACTGTTTGTTATTTGGTTGAACTCTAGAATCCATTATATTATAGATGATCAGTTAAATTTATTTTTTACAATTAAACTCATTTATTTCATTGGAATGTCTTTGCAACGTTTCATGCCTAGGTTATTCCGACCATCTGACAGCAATGATTATGTTGTTTTGATTTTCAAAATGCTATCACACACAGAAAGTTACTGTACTTGTTGGTTTATACAATGTTGGACGTTGTGTTTGAGAGGACGTTCCAAGTTCTCATAGTGTTGTAATTCATAAATTACTCAGATGTTTAAACAGAGTGTATATCATCCTTTAAGATGTACATCTGAATTAATTTATGCAGATAACTTCCAAGTCACAATAGTCGATGTAGTTGAAAAATGGATTGTTAAGTTCTATATTTAAAGAATATATAAAAATAACAAAGAGAGAAGTTGCACGTCAAAAATCTGATAGGAGTGATATGTGGATGTAAAATGTTCGTATATTTGCTACACGAAAAAAGTTCCAAAAACATTGTTTCATGTCGTTCAGTATTAAGTTTGAAGACTAATGAAACAAATGAGGTTTGCACATTCAGGAACAATACAATCACTATTCACTGTGGGAACTCAGTGCAATCACTATTCACGAAATCACTATTGCTTCCTTTTTACGTTTTATTGATTAGCGATAACGTTATTCAACTGTGTAATATATTTCTTTGAGAAAAATCCTCTGGTTTTATAATTGGATGTGTAGGTCAGGTTCGAAAATATATTTCAAGGAACTCTACTCTTGCGATCACATTGAACCAAGAAAAAATAGATGTAAAAAAGTTAGAAAGGGTCCACACTATACGGAAAATAAAAAAATGTGTTTAAAATTTAATGATATGCATTACTCTTTTAAATTAAGGTGCATAGCAGCCAATACCATTCTTGTTTTCTTCCCAGCAATATACATATAGATCTAGGTAAGTACACCACATTTCCGTTATACTTTCAGAAACATTTTTAAATCTATGATCACAGTAAATAGTGGTTGTACTGTTTCAGAAGTTGTAAACGTTCAAACCATTGCTTTAAGACCTTCTGTCAGGCCTTAGCTTCACAATCGTATTTGAAGGCAAACGCCCACTTCTACTCCAGTGTCTTGGAGCTGTTTCTTTTGCCTAGAACTATAAGTAAATTTGTATTGGTAAAGCTAACAGTTTCTGTTCTTTACATTCCAAGAGACTCGTTTTTGTATCTGTAAATATCTCGATTAAACATAAACAATCATTAAGCAAGTTATCACGTATACGACTCAGCCATGGATCAATAATTGGAATACAATATAAGAATATGTTACAAACGACCTTTAGTCTTTAACGTACGTAGAACAACAAAAAAGAATATAAAGTGTAAAGGATAAGTATGATATGAAAAAGGAGACATGAAGAGAGATGAAAGTCAGAAAACGTTCGTGCAAAAGAGGCGAAAGTAAAATATTGTTTATAAACATGAGAAATTATAATACTTTAATGGTCGACAGCGGCTGTGAAACACCCTGGCTAACTTTGCCTCGTAGAATGTTTTCCATTGTTAAACGAACATTGCTCATAAGGTTGCGTAGGCTTCCGCGGCCGGAGTTTATGTTGGCTAGGCTATCCGGAACGAGCCGCGTCAATTGCAAACGTTAGCCACCATGACATTGACGCGGCTCGTCCCGGATAGCGTAACCTAGCCCACATAGCTCATAACCCCTCGACGCGGCGTTGCCCCTTTCAACGAAAGAGGAGAGAATGGGCAGGTGGGCGACGGTGGCGGCGCAGGTGATGAAGGCGACGGAGCTCAAGTCGGGCACCAAGTGGGCGATCAAGGTGATCAACAAGGCCCAGAGCGGGGCGTCGCGCATCAAGCTGTTCCAGCGCGAGATCAGCATCCTGCGCGCCGTGCACCACCCGCACATCATCCACCTGGAGCGCGTCTTCGAGTCGCCCAAGACGCTCTTCCTCGTCTTCGAGCTGTGCCTGGGCGAGCTGCGCGAGCTGTTCCTCAAGAAGAAGGTGCGGGTGCTAGTGGAAGGCGCTGGCCGGGACACGCCACTCCGCGCGTATCTACCACACTGACTCTACAACTGCGATTGCATAATTACTACTTACACTTATTAATGTTTAGATTTAGGTTTATTACTAAGTCTGTAATTGAGTTTGAGAACTTGGTGGCAGAATACATTAACTTAACAATACAGAACTCAACAACTTTACAAACTTTACAAATGAACGTGAACAATTCACCGAGCAATCTTTCATAGCACTCCACTTCACCACACTTCACTTCACCGCACTGAGAATCACTGAGATGTAACGCATTTCTTACACACTCGTTTACGTCAGTTTCACAACGCAAACTGCACCTCACGCCACTGCACTGCACATAATTAATAATAATTATAATACGTAATTACTTAGTAGACATAGTTACTTACACTGAATAATAATGTTACTATACTATCTATTATTTCGCTGCTCCAGCTGGAACAAGCTCTGGCTTAGGTAGCCCAGGATATCAATTGCTTTCACTGTGTCGCATCTGACCGAAAGGTCCTTCGGTGCGAGTCTCGACGGTGGCAGGATTCTCGTCGCTAGATAGATAGCTGGGTCGTGTTCATTCTCCGTCTGGAGAAGAATTCTATCACCCGGTTTTTCTCATCCGTCGTTTTTCGTGGTTTTCCTGATCATGGTCATGCGAATGCCCAAGCAGTACCTTAAAGAAAAGGACTGCAGGCTACGCGCCATCTTTCCTTCCTCTTCCATGTCCTGTCATCTCCTTTTACTTACACACACTCATACTTACACGTACTAGATCACACTTGTCGGGAGCTTAGAGCGTGTTCCGACCGGAGTGGTGCCCCCGGAAGACGTGGCCGCGCGGTGCCGCAGGTATTCACGGAGGACGAGACGAGGAAAGTGGTGGCCAGCCTGGCGTCGGCGGTCTCCTACCTGCACCGCAACGACATAGTCCACCGCGACCTCAAGTTGGAGAATATTCTGGTGTCCACTAATCCCAGTGATCCGGAAGACAACCTCTTCATAAAGGTACCGGTGTTTCAATGAAGGTACACTTTTTGAGCTGCTCATATTGGCTGCATGTTTTTCACGCCAAAACGCTCAGCGCAGTATCAGTCTGCGATACGTGAGTAGTTGAGCAATGGAATGGAACAATGAAGAAACGTGAGGGTAAAATAAACTTGTTGTTCTACAGAATGGCACAGACTTTCCTGTATTAGTTTTGTATTTTCTTTGGTCTCGGCTAGCTATACGAATTTGCCACATACTCTTACATGCTATCTATTGACGCCAGAACGCACTTTTTTTTTAATTTTCTTTTTTTAGGTTTCCTAGTAGTAGAACGGAAATATTACTTCAAGAATATTAGAGATAAGTAAAAAATCGTTCTAAATAGCAATTTTCAATGCCAAATTTGAAGCCATTTTTAAGAAAATGACGCTTAAGAGCAACAGTAAAATTAGAAACTCTTTTTCACAGAAAATGTTTGAATTTTCGAAAAACGTTTTTAGAAGTCATTTGAAACACTTTAACTACCAAATGCAATAATCTATACAAATCACTCTAAATGTTCGTATTAACGGTGTGAGGGATATTTAAAAAAAATTGTGTATTTTTTGAAAAAAAAAAACAAACAAATAATACACGAAAATGAACTTAACATCATCGTTTTTAATATTGCAATTAAAACAATCCGTTGGAAAATTGTGAAGAAAAAATTTGAAGTTGTTTTTGAGAAAATTGCGATTGGCTAATGACCTAGCAGTTGTCGCCCCGAAATGTAATCAATCCAGCTCAATTTAATCCCAAGAATAAAAATCTGTCACTCAACAAAATAAATCAAAGACCGTACCAAATCAACACGTACCAAATCAACGTTACAAATCAGACAAATCAATGACCTATCATCAACCGTAACAAATCAAGACAAATCAAATGAAACCTATACAAATCCAACCGTAACAAATCAGACAAAATCAATGACCTATCAAATCAACCGTAATCAAATCAGACAAATCAATGACCTATCAAAATCAACGTACAAATCAGCACAAATCAATGACCTATCAATCAACCGTAACAAATCAGAAAATAATGAACCTGTAAAATCAAACGTTCAAATCAGACAAATCAATGACCTGTCAATCAACCGTAACAAATCAGACCAAATCAATGAACCTATCAAATCAAACTGTAAAATCAGACAAATCAATGACCTATCATCAACCGTAAAAATCAGACAAATCAAATGACCTATCAAATCACCGTAAAAATCAGACAAATCAATGACCTAGGGTCAAATCAACCGTAAAAACAAACAAATCAATGCCTATAAATAAACGTAACAAATCAGAAAAATCAATGACCTGTCAAATCAACCGTAACAAATCAGACAAATCAATGACCTGTCAAATCAACCCGTAACAAATCAGAACAAATCATGACTATCAAACTAACCGTAAACAATCAAACAAATCAATGACCTGTCAAATCAACTAAAAAAATCAGACAAAAATCAATGACCTGTCAAATCAACGCTAAAAAATAAACAATCAATGACGTAGTTGAGATGCTCGAAACATCAATGAAGAAGTTGGTAGCTCTAGTCCCGAGCGCGCGCGCGCAACGCGGAGGCGGTGCGAGTCCGCGGGCGCGGGCGTGGGCGTGGCGTCGCAGGTGACGGACTTCGGGCTGTCGGTGGTGCGCGGGGGCGTGGGCCACGAGTCCATGCTGCAGGAGATGTGCGGCACGCCGGCCTACATGTCGCCCGAGCTGTTCGGCGAGCGCATGTACAGCCAGCAGTGCGACGTGTGGGCCATGGGCGTCATCATGTACCTGCTGCTGACGGGCAGGTACCCGTTCGAGGCGCACAGCGGGCGCTCGCTGGCGCAGGTGGTGGTGGGCTGCGAGCCCAACTTCAACTGCGAGCCCTTCACCACCCCCGCCGAACTGGCCAAGGAGGCCGAGCAAAAGGTAGCCCTACACGGCGTTTCTTGTTTGGTGTAAATCCAGCGTCGCGGTGTAGATAAGTCTCGAGGGTTGTGACTGTATATTAAGCGTTATAGTAATAGACATGATTTTTTAAAATATACAGTAGATACTTATGACGTGTGATGAAATGTGTGAAACTTCTACACACTGAAGGGGATATAACGTAATTTGGTAAATCATAACGTGTTTATTGGCAAAAAGCTGAAATGTACGCTTCCTTTATACACCATAGTAGTTTGTAACATATAAAGATTAAGATAAATTTATTCAGACTGCAATTGAGTATAACCTGGGGGTAGTTAATTACGTAAATAAAGTAACATATTCACATGCAAATAATATAATAGTGGTAAAATAAAAATAATAAATCATGAAACATTAATTTACTTGAAGAAAGAGAAAAGAAACATCTACAATCTTAATCCGAACTGAAGGTACTTACAGTTAAGACCACATTGCATTGGTACTGCACTGCACATCATTCTATTGGAAAGCTATCTGTATACTATATATATTTATGCATAACTATACTCAGTATATGTGTTCATAGTGATAACATATATACGACGAAGAAAGTCCTTAAAAGTACTTATTAACAGTAAAGGCGACGATCCCGTGTCGTAGGTATAGAGCAAATAATAACAGATATTTCTAAAATATCTTCTTTAACTCCCATCTCACATTTTTCACTTGATATCAAAAGACGAATGACAAATAAGTGCGCTGTTTGGTGGTACAACGTTTGGAGTATCGGGCTGTTGTATCCAAGTTTGAGGGTTGAAATCCGGTCGAAGCCAAGGATTTTGACGGCCAAAAAAAATCATTTGTACGTCTTCCTTCGCAGGAGATTAAAGCTGATGTTCCATGTCGTAGATTTACAATATACAAAATATCCTCAAGCCTAAAAGAAGCTTCTCAGTTAAATTGAAAGTCGCCTGTGTTGGTCGCGTGAGTAATACCTTTTTTGTCCGGGGCATGAAGCGTAGTGCGTGGTAAGACGGAAGTCCCGAGTAGTCGCAACGTAAAGTGCGTCATTTACCACCTAAGAACTACGTTGGTCGCGAGCGCGAGGGCGTTGACGGCGGCGGGCGCGCAGGCGCAGCGGCAGGCAGGCAAGGACGCGCCTCCGCCGGTGACGCGGCCGGGGCTGGTGGGGCAGGTGGGGCCGGGCGCGGCGCAGGGCGCGGCGGGCGCGGGCGCGCAGGTGAAGCAGGTGGGGCAGGTGGAGCCCGCGGCGGCGCACGCCGCCTCCTTCAACACGGCGACCATCCTGCAAGAGGAGACGAGCGCGCGCAAGCTGCTGCGCAAGATGCTGGAAAAGAACCCGGCGTACCGCGCCACGGCCAGCGAGGTGGAGAAGGACCCGTGGACGCGCGGCGCCACGGGCGACGAGCCGCCCTCCAGGAACGCCATGGAGCTCATGAAGATGTGGCGCACCGAGATGCGCGAGTCCATCGGCGGGCCCGCGCCCCAGCTGCCCGACACCAGCGACGCGCGCCGACAGTCCATTCGCCGCCTCAGCTACATGCTCGACGCGGTACGTGCTCCTCTCCTCCCCTTCCCTCTCCCCTCTGCCCTCCTCACCCCTCCCCTCACCTGCCCAACACCACGCCTCCTCAGGCCCCTTCCTCAGCACACCTCACCCCTCTTCACCACTCACCCCTCACCTCTACCCACACCAGACCCTTCCTTCCCTGTCCTTCCCAACCTCTACCCCCTTCCCTCTCACCTCTGCCCTCCTCAGACCTCCCCTCCCCTGCCCAACACCTCGCCTCCTCAGGCCCCCTCGCCTGCACACCTCACTCCTCTTCCTCCCTCTTCACTATCTTCCCCTTACCGTCTCTACTCAAACCAGACCTTCCCTCCCGTAACTTCTCTCTGCTTCCAAAGTCTCCCCCTCCCCTCTCCTTCTTCCCCTCTCCTGCCTACCTTCCTCCACCCCTAAAATCTCCTCTCCCTCCCGCACCACTCTACTTCCACCCACCTACATCCCCATTCAGGCCTCACTTCCCCTCTTTCCAACTCGCTCTTGCAAAAAAATAGGGATCAGCGATTAAACGACAATCATTTTACACGATCAATGGAAGAATAGAAGTCGATTATTTAAATGCCTTTTAATCTATAGTATATTGATTATTTTTTAATATTTTCCTCTATTCTTTTAATTTCAATGCATATTTTCAAGACAAAAGTATGTCAACAAACTTTAACAAGAAAGTTAATCTCTGTATCTTTCTCTCTGAATTTCAAAAAATAATAAGGTAAACATTAAAGATTGATGTAAGGAAAACTCGTAAAATTAAAAGTCGCTATGAATATTCTATTTCAATTACCGCATTTTTCATATCTTTTTATCTTATTTTGACATCGTATGTACAAATAAAACATATATTTGTATCGTGAAAAACGTCAAAATCACTCAATAATAAAAGATTAATCAAATAATTTGAAACGATTGACCACCGGCTGAAATGGCTCAGG